TTTTCTTCAATTTGTTGTGTGCACACCTGTCCCTCGCTTTTATACTGCCCACGTGTCCCTCCCGCCTCCAGTTTTTCCAATTTTATCAACACTATTTTCTCTTATTTACTCAGTTGCCACTGCCAAGTGCCAATTGCCAAATCTCGTCGATGGATAAATTTCAAAATATTCTCATTAATTTTTAAAAATATTCTAACTAATTTTCTAAGTTCAATTATAAAGGGTAAATTACGTATTAGTACTTAACTATCAGTTTGTTTGATTTAGTACATAAACTTTTAACTTTTTTAAAATTATACCTAATGTTAGTTTTTTGTTTCATTTAGTACTCACCATTAAAATTATAACGTATTTAGACTTTAACTATCAATTTTGGTCTATTTTAGCACTTAAACTTTCAATTCTCCCCAAAAAAACTTAACGTTAAACTGAAATAAAAACTAAATTTTAGGTATGATTTTAAAAAAATTAAATTTTAGATACTAAACGGATCAAAAATGATAGTTTAGGTACTAAACACATAATTTACCATTTTTATGTTAAATATCTAATCACCACCAAGCATCAATGGTTAATAGAATTATTCACTGTTAATTAAATATTTTATGGGATAAATAATTGGATTATTTAAATTAAAATTATGACTAAGTTTTATGAGAAAAGTGAGTTGATTGGATAACAATTTTGAACTTTATCATTGAATAATTAACTTGAAAAATCAGTGGTTTAGAAATTATATATAAAATTAATAATTCAACATTTATATACAACAAATTAATAAATATACGGAGAAAATTATGTATTTACTAAATTGTACTAATATCTACTTTTAGACTTATATATACAAAAGGTGTCAAACATACTTTTTTTCGTTTAGTGCTTAATGTTATTTATTTTTCAGTTTGGTGTCTAACGTTCATTATGTAACTCAAATTAAGTCAGGTTGTGACGGACTGTTAAGTTTGGCCGTTAATCCATTAAAAATGCCCCCTGACATTTTTTTAGGTAAAGTATACAATAATCAATCCAAACTTTTAGGGCGCTTCATTTTAGGGCGCTTGCATTTCACCCTGTTAACTCTCCTCCTTCTTCTTCAACCCGTTAATCTCCTTCCCATCCTGACCCAATTTGAGTTACGAAATGAAATTTTAGATACCAAACTGGAACAAAATAAACGTTAGGCATTAAACTGGGAAAAAAGATATACATTGGACACTTTTTGTATATTTAAGCCTTTTTGTTATAAAATAAAAAATCGAATTATAGCAGACAAAATTAAAATGCCGAACAACAAAACATTAACTCTCAGGCCTGCGACTGATTAATACCAAAACCGACCAGGGAGTCGAACCACGACCTTCTATCCGAAGTCAGACGCGCTAATCCCTGCGCTATGCGATCCTATGGTTATGCCTTGAGGCTTTAGTTACAATACTTTTATTATTTTAAAATTTTAATCCCAAAATTTATGTTTACCTTAAAAGAATTAAGATGTGAAAGAAGTTCTAATAAATATTTATGTATTATATTTAACGATACCGATTCTATAAACCATGAGCAAGATAATAATTTTCAATTAAAAAATATCATGAAATTAAAATATTTTTTGAGAATAATAATTTTCAATTAAAAAATATCATAAACAACATGATAAGGGTAAGCTTATCAATGTTTTCTAAACAAGGAACGATACTCATTAAGATTTAGAGGATATAGCAAAGTATCCAATCAAAATAATTAGAGATTGTCACAAGTTACATTGGATGAATTTTTTCCCCACTAAATCTAATTTGAATATAACACTCTTTCTCTGAATTTTTGAGATAAAAAACCCACATCACATATTTATACAACCCTACATAAATATATATCTAATAAATTATATATAAAAAATATGACAATAATAATTTTTAAATATATAAATCGATTATACATTCCTTTCCATGAAATGCTAAGGTTAATTTGGGTATTAAAAAATGCTATTAATAACTTGCACTGGGAAAATTGTATTGGACAACAACAACAGACAACATTTTCAATTTACAATCAGATCCTGAATTTTCTTACTCTTTACAAAAGGGCAACTCAAATTCTTTCTTCTCTTTAACATACATGTAGGATATTAAAGATAATTCTTTTCACTGGGGAAATTGCAACTACCACCTTGGCCTTCAATCAAACTTGGTAAAAGGGGGATTCTTTAAAAAAATTAAAAGCAATTGACTGTACACTGAGCTATACAATGTCCACGGTTCAGGTATAATTCTTGCTTTATGAGAGCTGATCTTGGTTTCAATTTGAATCGGATACTGTTGAACTAGGAATTCTTGCCTGTGCGGTTTGTGGCGGAGCTGTGAGCGCGTATATGAGCTGGAAGAGGAATTCTCGATCAGACCAGCAACTCCGGCAGCGGCGGATTGTGCATTTGAAGGAAGGAAAAGGTCGTGTTTCTGGTCTTTATAAGCACTCCAAACCTGCAAATTGAGTTGGAGAAACAGTACGAGGAACACGTTGAAACTGTCATAAATGCCGGTTTTAGAGGTTTACAATAATTGTATTTACAGAAACCATGGGTGAGGACTTACATCGGATGAATTCAATATTTCGCGCACTTTGATACAATGAGCCCCTTCTGCTGCAAATGCATGCAAAACCTGGATAAAAGAAAAGAAAAAAATGTAATTCCTGATAACTCGAGCACTTAAAAAGAAATGGACACAAATGCAGATACAATTTGCTCATCTCGGTTGAAAGTCATAAGACAGATATCAATAGCAATGATGGTATACTCAGACAAAGGATGATTGCAAACTAACCTCAATAGCAAGCACCCTGCCAATGGATGCTTCTGATTCATTCCATTTCATCTGAGAGCAAAATCCGTTCCTTCCCCCAGCTCTCCAGTCAAGAAGTCCCAGAAGTACTTCGAGAAGACCAACCCTGCATTATTTACCGATTTTGCTTCAGCATCAGAAACCACACAACAGAGTATGAATAAAAACACAAAATGAAATTTATACAACTGAGCGAATCTATTCGCATTGCATGCATGATATTAACAAATGAACCAAATATAAAACTCATCAACAAAGTTTTACAATGAAAAGCTGCAATTCTTGGGAAAAGGTCTTCAGCCAAGAGATTATCCATCTCTATATATGCACATTTAGCTTTTATTCACATTAGTTAATGCGTACAAAAGTCACTTACTTGAGTCCTTGGGCAACAAGTGCATCCCTAGCTCGATTTCCAGCACCCACAACACGTTTTAATGTCTCCAGAGCGAGAATGCTCCCACCTTGCCATCCAATAGCTTTCATTAGAAGGGGAACAACCTGCAATTATATTTTCTTGGTTAAATAAGAAGAAAAAATTCAAGGGAAGAGCAGTAAAATGATCAAAAGTACAACACAGGCGAAAACAATCCAATCTCCTTACTAGAGAAACTTCTGAAAAAGATATAAAGGACAAGGACTAACAAAGTACCGTGATTCATGAGAATCTATTACAGTCAAGAATGCGTAAAACTAAAAGGCATTGCGAGGCAAAAGAAAATAACAAATAAGGTTGTTATTAGAACACATACCTGCGTTGTTCCAACACTAGTGGCTGCCATGGCTTCAGCACATATTGTACTGGCAGCAAGTTGATGCAGAACCCGCAAACAACTAAGGCGAACGCGTTCCTGTGGAGTTTTGTGCAGGCTGCTCATCAGATTCATCCTTCCTGTCTGCAGTATTATTTCCATCTTTCATATCCCCAGATGACATTGCTTCTCTCCTCCCCTCATAAGCCACAGCAGCAACAAGTTTGGGCACATATCCAAGAACCAACATGGTCAGCAAGTGCAGGGTGCACTCGCAATAATGAAACCAAAGCAGCGGAAAGAAGCAAAGGAAGCTCGGGATCCACAGATTCAGACTCATAATGTGTGGCAGCGATAGATGACAAGTACTGATCTAGTAGCCCTTCCAGGAATCTCTTGGGATTCCTAAGAGGAAATTTGGGATCTTTTAGGAATAGCCTAATATAGATTCCACCAACCTACATGATTATGAAACCATTAGTTCCAGGGCAAATAACAAAAAAATTTTGATGAAATTATATCAAGTAATACCTGGGGCTCATCCCTCATTTCCTGCTGTGCAGAAGCTTGCTCAGGCACATCCCAATCAACGATACGGCCTTTCATCTGTTCATGGTAAGGTCTGATACCATAGTAGCAATTGTGCAGACAATGATGCTGCCATGGCCGGAGTCCATACAAGTTCTGGTGTTTCTGTATTCTGTTCAAGGGCAGACACAACAGCTTCACCAGGCCCATCTCTTATGATTGATACCAGACCATCAGGAAGAAACCTAGCCAATGTTAGCAACTCTAGGACCATGCATTGGCTGCGCAACAAGTTTACCCAATAAAGAGGCTGCTGCCGCTCTTTTGCTGCAAGGGAATTTCTTCTGCACACGGCCATTTTTAATATCAACAAGATTGTTTTCCAAATAAAAAAGGGTAAAAAGAGGAAGACAAATTACCTTGTAAAGGCAAGAGAAGTTCAAGAATGTACACAACACCACCATGCTTAGCAGCTGCCCAAGCAAGTTCAGGCGTGCTTGCCAAAGCATAGAGGACATGAAGCCCCTTCACGGCAAGCAGGGGCAGAGTGGAGCATTTGCAACAAAAGAAGAAGACTAGATCCATCTGCAACCATGGCCTCCAAGCAAGGAGCATATGTAGTCAAGAGAGAGAACATTCAGGCATAGTAGGAATGTTGCTTTGATGCAACAGCCACAGAAAAGCTCAAAAATTGGTAATAGCCTCTCTTTAGTGGAAAATATGGATGCCAAATTAGGATATGCAGTTAGCAAGTTCTGCAAAAGATAAGTGTTAGAATACAGATGTACCATATTCTTTATACATAGTAGACACAAGAAAATGAATTACCTGTAGTGACCTAAGACCAATTGAAGGTTTTTAATCATCACATTTTCTTCCTTATCTTTCATCTTATATCAGAAGCAGCCAGAGAATCATCAGGAACTTCCTGTTCATCTACTGAAGCACCAGTTGTATCACTTTGATGCTCAGGTTCAGGAGATGAATTGCTGATATTAGGTTTTTCCTGAACATCATAATCCATAGAGCCCTGATTGTGAACTAGAGAAGCTATAAAATCAATTAAAGCCACACAGAATGCTTCTGGTTCACTGATCTCAAAGTCAGGTTGATCATTATAAACCCTCAAATAAACATTGCCAACAAACAGTTCCTTGGACAGTGCTTCATAGGAAAAGATGAGAATGTTTCAGGTCACGAACCATCTGGTCCTTGGTTAGCTCGTTTCTGGTCCACAAATTTTAGCAATTCTGCTCGAGTTGAAGAGTTCCAGATTATCTATGACAGAGAAGAAGTTAAGACTTTAAGCAATATCAAAGTAATGGAAATGAAACAACAGAATAAGCACACCATTTACCTCTGGTGACTCCAAGTTCGTGTTCAACATGGACAGTAGGTCTTTTGGTACTTGATCTCTCAACATACTGGCAAGTTTTGGAGTTAGCAAAGCTCTGACTGCATTAACTACAGGTTCATTATAAGGTGTTGAGCTCTCATCACAGCACAACCCACTAAGCCTAGATAATGCTCGGGATGCTCGTAAAGCATGCAAGTTTTTTGCAATTTGAATGCTAGCACCAACACCATGGGACTCTGCTGTATCAGATTCCTCTGCAGTTGAATCATACTGAAGCAACAACGGCAAAAGGTACCTAAACATCCAAATGACACAAGTTATCAAGTAATAAAGGATTATAGACGTAACTTATATGATTGCTACAATGTCATTCTCATGCACATCCAGTAGAAATAGTTTTTACATCCAGCATAAAAACAGAAAAATCCTAATAAATGTATAATAATAGGAAAGATGGAGAAAGTAACGACACCAAAAACTTGAACATAAGTGTGCAACCACAAGAAACAAATAGCTGACTATTTACTCTCTATAATTTCTATACTGGAGCATGTTCCCTGGGAATATATAAGAGTAATCGACTTCAAGAAAGAAACACAATAGTCCAAGAAGGTTCTATAAAAGTTTATTATTTATTAGCAATGGAAAGACTACATAACAGAAGATGCAAAGAAGATATTGTGAATAGTGTAACTTTGTAAGATACTATGAAGAGATCAAGTATTTCCCAGACTAAATGGACATAGATAAACTAATCAACGGTGGTGCAAACATGCATTCAAATCATAGATCAAATATGAGAAGGTAAGCAAGCTTACCATAACACTCCAGCCTTTATCAAGGCATCTTGCAAATCAGGGGACACAGAAACATGAGCAATAGTCTGGAGGGGCACTATCAACAGCAGCAGGCACTACCTCCAGTTCAGTGCAGTGCACTATGTCATCAACAAGTCCAGAAAGCTCAAGGATCTCAGCTCTGGCAGTCTCAAACTGACTCAGAACAGCAAAGGTCCGCATCACATTTGTAACGATGATAGCAGACGGTTCGTTTGCAGGAGTAGTTGGTTGAACTACACACATGCAACGAGAGAGAAGTGTTGTAAAGTTGTATCCCACCATCTCTAACAAGTTCTTCACCATTCAATGAGGACGATGCACACCTAATATTAAAAAAAATAGGAAAGGAAGTAGAAGTGATGAAATCTCCAAGTCAAATTTTAAGGAAACTAAATCTACAAAAGTATATGTAGGTAGGAGAGGAATTTACGTAAGCCAAACGAGCTCTGATGGTGCAACAAGAAGAGGTGCTCTATCTGAGGAGAGAAAATTATCTTCCTTGTCAACAGTTATTGCATTGAGCAACATGGGATAACCAGCATATTTAAATGGTTCCAACATCTCCAAATCTTCTATACAAGATGCACTGCCCTTTCAATAGAAGCAACAGCCTCCAAGGCTGAGGACCTTGCAAACCTTGCATTGTAGCCTACATAAAGAAAATCATTAATTTTCTTCCAAGCAAGTCAGTATGCACTACACTGAGGAGCAAGCAACTACCTGAAGCCGTTCATAAGCCTTTGTACAGCATGAAATTTCTCCCTCCCTTCAGGATTTTTGTCAGGATGATATTTCATCGCAAGTTTCCTATATTGTCGCTTAAGCTTTTCTTCATCAATGTTCTCAATTTGCTTGGATATGATCGATATATCTCCATTCGCCTTCTGATCAGCATTATCTCCGGATACATCTTCCAAGGTAATCTCCAATATTTTGCAAGCTTCTTCCTCAGAAATATCCATTGGTTTCCGTGTCAACTCTTCCCGCCACATTACTAGCAAGGACTGTAGAAATTCAACATGTTCAACAATTGGCCAATTTGGAAATCGGATCTCATCACATAGATTCCGAAGATAATAACGGTGACACCACATTTCATCTCTGAGTTCTGGATAGGTCACTGGTGGCATAGGAGCATAGTCATATAAAGAATGACAGTGCTGTGACAATTTCTGGGGGAAATCTCCAAGATGCTGCAAAACCTTTGGAAAGGAATAACAATGCATCAGTTGGTGGTAGTAGTAGAATTCTAACCTTTATCTTTAACAATTGGCCTTCAAAGATATATCTTCTAGCCATACTTGATTAAGTAGTTTCCACTCATCTATTTGCACTCTCTAAACATAATTAGGATTCTGTCCAAACAAAAAAGATCGCAAAGGAGAAAGGGGGAACAATTGCTTCAGGAAAAAGAAAAAGAAACAAAAGTATATCTGTCTCAAACACACATAAAGATAGTAGCAGAAAGAATCCGGGAAAAAGAGAAAAATGTAATTATGTCACATCTAGTCGTTTACAAGTTCAATTTCTAATTTTATATAGTACTTGCTTTCTCTATTTTAATACAGAAAATTATTGCTTCTTCATATCATTAATCAACTATTCCAAAGTACACTATATAGCCATAATCTATAAACTAATGTTCATATGGGTCCCTACATAAAACCCTACTTCTACCATGCCAGTATCTTTTTTTTTTTATAGGAATTGAAGGCCTCATTAAAAACCCCATTCTTGATTGAAGAAGCTTGTAAATAAGCTCCTTAATCAGAGGAAGGAGAAAAGATGCCAGATTTTTTGCATGTGAAAGAACAATGTAAAGGACATCAAGATAATATACTATTGCACAATTAAAAATATTCACCTGGCAAATCAGATTTTCAGCACGCATTTTATGTGTCCAATGATCTCTGGAGTATCAGACTCAGAAACCATTGCTGCAGCAAATACAGATGGGCCGCTACGTTCCAATACATACAGCAAAGATTCAGGGAGAAGTCCACCCAGTACGCTACGTTTAGCAAGGGGCAATGAAGAGGAAACTGCAGCTTCTTCGCCACCATGGAAAGCTTGATGTACATGAGTTACTGAGAAGAGTTGTGCAATCGAAAGGAGGTTGGATCCAGGGTACGCCAGAGCAAAATAAAATGCACCTGCTGTACAGACGCATCATGGCCTTGGGTTTCTGGTAACAATAGCCTTCAGCAATGAAGCAGCAGCTTCAACAATACTTGGCTCACCAGAAAGCATAGCCTTTTAAGGAAAAAATAGATGCAACTGTATGAGTGGAACACTTCACAAATATGTTATACTACTATAAAAGGAACATATCCTATTTTTTTCTTAAAAATGAAGAAGGGAAGTGCAACTTTCTACTTGCAATATCTGGATGCACAAGTAATTATCAACTAAAAAGTACCTGTGCAATATGGGAAGGCAACGTGGACTTGACAAAATCCGTTTACCCTAGGAGTTGGGGTAACTATCTCACCAGCATCATCTAAGTCTGAATGTGCAGAAACCATGCTATGTAAAACAGACAATGCAGCTCTCCTACCTGCAAAAGAATTATTGATTAGAAGGCATCATGAAACAATACCAGGTTATATGAAGGTAAAAAAAGATGTCTACGACTATAAGTGACAGCCAAAGCAACACCAGTGCATCGGCCACTTTGTGATTAAACACAGTATCATAAACATGTATGGTCAAACCATTTCAATGTTCCCAAACATTATAGTGGCTCAAAGAAACACCACTTAAGAAACTAAAGTACAAGAAACGCGTCAGCAATGGCCATTTAAAAGTTCCATAAAGAAAAGGAATTAAAAAAGGAATACACTCCACAGATGATACCAATCATTAAAAAAAAGAATAAGATTTTCAAGCATTTGACAAGCAGAAATTGAATAATAGACCAAAGTTATCACCATTTAAGCAAAACACTGCATGCCACTTCCATGATGAAATGTAGTGCAAAATGCAGACCAAATGTGAAAGACAGTACCTGCGGTGGTGTAAGGACAGGAACCCGAACAGAGAGTGCCCAACGAAGCTCACGAATATCTTGTAATCTCTTCCAGTCCGGCATACCTGAAGCCCAGCACCTTGTTGTCCAGTCAATCGCTTTCTTTGACCACAACCTTCTGACAGCATCCTTCTCTAAAGGCCCAACTTGCGCACCATCTTTGTCAATATACATCCACTCCTTGAGTGGCTCCATAAAAGCAGAAGCAGCAATCAAGTTTGATTGTAAAGGGATAGCGGTCCTCTCAGAAGCTTCATGAACCACAGTTAGTAAATCAACAGCTAGCACACACCCTCCCACCAAACACAAGATTCCATATTTGCTAAAATCTTCATTAAAACCTGCACACACAGAAATAGAGAGTTGCTGTTACTTTCAAAATGATCATGACCAGAAATCAAAATCTATTTTTGACTTAAGATCAACCTCCATCACAGATCTTTTTAAGATTCTCTTATAGTTTGAAATACATAAAGCACCTAAAATTGTTAGTAAAAGCACCTTCAAAAGTAGTAGTAGACGGTGTCTCAAAGCTCTGTCATCTGTTCTGTCCAAGAGAACAGTAATGTGTGCAGTCCCTTCAAAAGGGCCTATTGTATTGCAATGTTGTTCATACACAATTGCCATTGCCCGTGCACAAAGCTCCCTAACTGAAGAGCCTCCACCTCCTCCAAAGCCATCTAATCTTGACATATCACACCAATCGTCAGAAGAACCCAATTCATCCGGAACAGCACCATCCACTGTAAGGCCTATGTCAGCATCGCATAAGAACCGGTGATAGAGTGCTCCAAAGAAAGCAACGGGATCACGAAGTGGAAAATCCTGTGCCCTACCACTATTACCACTCTCAAGCAGCAAACGCAGATAATATTGACCAACACAAACTTCCTTGGACAAACTAGGATAACTAACAGAGAATTCAGAATAGTTCCAAGAGATCCTGGGAACACTATCTTGGCCACTCATACTCTCTACCGTAGCATCTCCAGGAAATATCTTCAGTCCGTTCCTTCTCAACACCAATTTATGAACCTCAGCTTGCAAAGCTTCCCGCAACTCTTGCCTAGTACGCTCATTCCAGATCAAATCAGCACGGTTATGATCAAGGCTAAAAGCACGCCAAAATTCAGGCCAATTACAAAGTAGGCATCCAGATCCAACAGGTGTGTTCTCCACGACAACCTGAGCAGGTGCGGGAAGACCAGTGTTATGTGACCCAATTACATTGACATCAGAAAAAACTGAATTTGAAGCATTTGTTTCTGATACTCCACGCACATTTGTTGACGGATAATCATTGGAAGCCGATATAATTGAATGGCCATTTTGAGAAATTCCAGTCGAATATGCATCAGTGTTCAAACTTTCGACAGTATGAGCAGCAGAAGATTGTTTTAAAACTTGACTGAAGGTAGGGTCTGCAATTGATTTTTGATGATTATCTGCCACCCTATGAAAACCAGAATTAGTCTGCCTTGCTGCATCACCTGCCTCAAAATTATTAGCAGAGGGTAAGGATTGCTCTTGTTGTAATAGCCTGCCCTGTACGACCTCTTCTCTGCTGAAGCAAACGCCTCTGTCTTTTACTTGTCAATGATCCTTCTTGCATAGATTCTTCAGGTACTCCATCAGGTCGTGTGTGCAAATAAGCAACAAGTCCAGGTGGCAAAACTCTAGACAACAAGTCTAGAGCTGGCTGGTAGGAATCTGCCCATAGGGCAACAAGCTGGCGACTAACCTCACGGCGCTCACCAGCAGGAAGGAAAAATGCATGTAATAAATGCCTCAACAGAGCACCATCACGTAAAGCAGCATCGCGCATTGACTCCGCGGCAATTGCATCTTCTTCCGCAATAGTACGCATTACCACAGCAACTGTTTCCCTAACACTCTCAGCAGGATGGGCAAACAAGGCAAATAAACGACGCTTCAAACCAGCGACTTGGCGCAACAGCTCAACAAAAACCGTGTATTGGGTAGTTTCACCATTTGGATCACAAATCATAGCCTCCAGAACTTCAACAACAGCCATGGACAATAATGGGGATACAGACATAGGTTTCAATCGGTTGACAAGGATGATGACATAACCATGCTGAGAGAAAAATATGGACTTGGTATGCATAATTGTGGCATGCTGCTCTCCTTTAGAATCTGTTAGCACATGTGTATCCCAGGACCACCAATGAGTGCCGCAACAAGCCTTGCTGCTTCAGCAGCTACACCCTCAGATCCATTTCTAAGTAAGCCCATTATTCTTCCAACAGCAGCCGGAAAAGACACAACATGAGAAGCAGCATTTTTGGAAGCTAACAATCTATGTAAACATGCAATGAAACCCATCACTGTAGCAGCTGCCTTAGGTGAAGGAGGCGGCAAGGAAGGGGACTCCGGAGGGAGATTTGGTGTTGCTGGAAGCATTGTTATCAAGGCCATCAGAGTCACCTCAGGGACTTCAACAGTAGGAGGCACCCCACTATATGGAATGCATGCATTGAACTCCCTAATTCTGCGCCATAGCTTAGCCCTTGAACCAGGAATAGAACCACCTTCAGCAACAGCATCTTTGGCAGCAGCAGCCAAGTGTTTCAAATGTATGGATGAACTTTCAACATCGGCAAGAGGGCGCTGTTTTCCAAATTGCAAAGAACTCTCCCACAAGGTGGATTAATGCAATGGCCAGGCATTGTCAGCCTTGGCAATATGGGTACTGGGCACTGACCCTGGACAAGGAGACGATCAAGCAAGCAACATTAACTATTTAAGTTATCTAGAAATTAAAATATCAAAAATAGTAATCATGATGATTAGAGAAAAGAAACCCGTTCGTGTGCTAGACAGAACAGGTATACCTACTTCTGTTTGCAACAGATCACAAATTGCTGCCAATAAGCTATCTCGTGAGGTGCTTGCATAGACCTGTGAGCCATAAAACACACGTAAGCTGCATGCCCTTAACATTAAGCTTTCAAAGATAGAGATTTTGTTCTCACATGGATAGAGCATCCATCATTGAATTCAATTGCAAACATCTGGGGCTCCTCTGAAAATCGAACAAGTGAGCTCACAGAAGACAAAGGACGAACAATAACAACCTGCAAACCTCTAAGGAATATTCTCAGCATTTGATTTATCTTACTACAAACAATTCTTCAAAAAAGATCAAGCAGGTACTATCAGCCATCTGCATTGTGCAACAAGTAACACTTCTTCTATATGCTGAACTATCGATTTGACACTTTTTATCAGCCATCTGCATGTGCAACAAGTAACACTTCTTCTATATGCTGAACTATCAATTTGACACTTTTATCAGTCAGGCAATATAGCAATTAATTTTTGCTTACGTTATCCAAAGAAGTATCCGCTAATGCCTTTAGAACCATAAATAGAGAATTGCATTTCTCAATTTTGAAATTCTTTAAAGCTTTACTTAACCAACAACACTTTTACCCTCGTGAACTTCAATGATTGTTAAATGTTAAATGATTCAGGGGTAGAGACCAACCACACTGAGCCTTTAGGTTAACATAATAGCAAAAATGGTCATGTCTAGCATTCAGCTAACTCTAAGTCACAATTCCTAGTTATAACTACAATCAACCATAGAAATAGTTGAAGTCCATTAAGTGTAACAACCCAAATAGAGTCATAAGGTATAGCATCTACACAATAAGTGTCATATACTATTTCTTTTTTATCAACAGATGAAGCTCGTTAGCTTACTTCATAGTTATCTGGCCGCCTTTCAACAAGGGAAACTTTTGTGAGGATAAGTTGGCGAGAGACAGCATCACCATGCTCCCCAAGTCCTCCTTTTGGGCCAACACTGAAACTCAACCCAGGAAATTTAAGGTTCCATGGGCAGCAGAACGCATCTTGTCACAGACCAACCTCCACAAGGAGTTTCTGCTCCAACAGCCTCTTTGGCTGTGATTACATATTTTTCCATATTAATTAAATAAACAGTAAGAATTATATCCAAGAAAGAGAAGATGCAAAAAAGAGGTAAAGTGGAAGAACCAGAATAAAGTTTTTGGTAAGGTACCTCTTTGCTTTATGTACTCTGTTACAGTGAGAGATTGTGAACTGTCCACAGAAAGTGACACTCCAACCATCAATTTTGCAGTTTTAGTCTGCATAATTTATTTAGTAATTATTATCAATGAAAAATGTAAGGAGAATATCAAAAAACAACTTACCTGAATTGGAAGAATTTCAAGATAAATGGAAACATGAATTTTGGAGAATGGATCAGGATTTGGTTTCTTCTATAAGTAGTTATGGATAGAAGTAACTGTCGCGACGGTCCTTAAAATCGGGTATTACAGTAAGCATTATCTAATAACTAGTAAAACTTAAAAATATAGCATTTGGAAATCTGAATAAACTTATGTGTTAGGAAAAGTATATTTGAAGGATTTCATGTTTCGTGAAATTAAGGTATTTCAAATTCACTAATGAAGAGACCTAGAAATTCATGAACTTGAACATAATCAAGGAGTGTCTTCTTCCTCCTAAATTTTTACTAATTAGAAATACAAATACTTCTTTCAAATTTAAGTTTCAAAAGAAACCAAGGTAAAAAAAATAATGGAAGTAAATTAAAGGAGTTATCATACCAGATTTGAAATGATAGCAGAATTTGTGGTCCCTGTAGCAGCTTGAAAGGCTTTAGATTTCCTCCCATACAAAGGGCAAAGAACAAAACTACCATGATCAACGTTTTTCTTGCCATAAGAATCTGTCAATAGGACAATGGCAGGGAAGACATATCTCTAAATCTAAACACCCGAGGGTCTCCAGTTGTAAAGTCTATAATTTCAACCCCACAATATGTGACCTTCAATGTCTGTACGGACAATCAGTTGTTAGAAGCTTGAATCTGAAAATTTGACACGTAAGTCTGAAGTACTCAGCAGTAAATAGATGCAATAGACAATTATAAGAATATCTCTTCTGTTTAGGAATTCAATTAATCCTAGAACAAGATAATTTCCAGCCATCTATCTCAATTATCAAAATCTCTGATCAGGGTTTCAAATCGCGGTCGCGTTTTCGGTTATTTCGGATTTACCGTGATTGCGGTCGTCGCGGGTGCTATTGCGGTCGTCGCGGACGCTATTGCGGCCGTCACGGGTAACTCGGACAGCGGCGAAACCGCTATCGCGGACGAAATCGCCGTCGCGGACCGTTTTTTGAAACCCTGTCTCTGATCTCAAATCTCAATAGTCAATACTCAAACTCCGAGCTTAACATCTCCAACCATCAACATTCACACTCAAAATGTCAATAACTCAAGTCCCAGTAAATCGGAATCCTTTAAAAGCTGCCAGAAACTAATACAGCATAAGCAAATCTAGGCTAAACCCTACATAACAAAAAATACTAAGTATTTAATAAAATGAAATCCTAGCATTCCGATCCTCTGATCGACATCTATGTATCTTTGCATCGTTCTCCCATTATCACAGAAGCCGAAAAATTGTTTGATAATTTTACAAAGCCTAAATCAAAGTTACAGAAGTTTAATTTACGTTTGACATATAAAGCTGTTAAAGAATAATCTAAAGACGAGCTAAATTCAGTTAACTAGCAACTAACTTCATCAGAAATCCATATTCTAACACTTCACGAAGTCAATCAACAAATGCAAGAGCAAAACTTAATCTAGCAAAACTTACAAAAGGGCCCACTCAGCACGGCGTCTCCGTAGATGCAACACGGGAACTCCGCCACAGCTCCCAACCGATGCCATAATCCTATGCAATTCAGTCAAAATACTAGCGCGATACTGCGACGAAAACTTGATCGCCTTAAATTTCCTTTCCCATCGGTCCTCACGTTCAAATTGAACTCCGTAGAATTCTCATCCCTGCCTATAATCGGCGTGGCGGCTTCAAAATCAGTAGAGACATCATACGAATTCGTTACTGACAAAGTTGACGGATCGAGCGTGATAATCGCGACATTCGAAATGCAAAGGATTCGTTTGTAGCGACCGCGCCACGAGTGCTTGATGACGATGTAACGGGCAAGGTACTCCGGCTCTTCCAAGGAGGAGGGTTCGCAGACTGGTGATGGTGTTGGTCCATGGTGAAGCGGGTCGGGGATCGGATCGGGTCGCGGGCAAGTGTCGGGTCGTCACGGAGTCAAGGTACTGGAGAGAGTAGAGAGAGGAGCATTGTTGGGGCGGAGGAAATACCAGAGTCCCACACGTGGAGCGGGGGGGGTACGGTGAGAAAGAGACTGATTAGCCCCCAGCTTCTAACCGTAATTACCAAATCCGCCACTCCGGCCAGTTCGTTTTGTCTTTTCCGATCAATTTAACCCTAAATCGTGATCGGAAAAAAACGAGATCCGGCTCCCGGTGTGTGTGCAACTTGAGCTTGATTATTCTTCTTCTTCTTCTAAATTACAAGTTAATTCTGTGGATTCGATATTACAAGGGAAAATAAGAAGAGAAGGAATAGAAAATGGATTGAAGCAGAGAGGAAGAGAGAATGGAGAGACTTTGTTTGCTTTGGTGTTGTGACCGACATTCAACACTATCAAAAACTGCTGTTCGAGATAACGTCACAGCTCGGTGACTCAAGGTTTAGCTTTATATTAGGATAAACTACCTATTTAGTCACACATATATTCCTGTATTTCTATTTTAGTCATGTGATATGAAAAATTAGGGTAAATCACACGAATGGTCCCCGACTATAAGATACTGCTTTATTAAGTTCATCGATTATTAAAAGTTATAAATGGTCATTGACTATAGAATGTTGATTTGTTGAGTCCCTTGACTTTCAGAAGTTACAAATGGTCATCCGACTATTCATTATGTTTTAAATCCGTCCTTTTTCGTTAAAAAATTAGCGTTATTCAAAGTTAAATGTTAACTTTATGATTGTGATATGATAAAATCTGATCTCATAATCTCAAACGACTATCACATCTTAATCATCATGTTAACTTCTAGCTTAAACAACAACCACTTTTTAACGAAAAATGACGAATTTAAAACATAATGAGTTTGGT